TCAAATACTCGAGTTGATAAATGGACATTAAATTCAAGTACTAGTACTTCAGCAATGTATGTGAAGAACTCGTGTTGGGGTCTCTTCATCGATATTAATAATAATCTTTATTGTTCAATGTATGCACTCAATCAAGTTGTCATGAAATCATTGACTACTAATTCAGCTATGTGGACAGTTGCTGCTGGTGCAAACTGTTCGGTACCAAGTACGAATACACTTAATGGTCCTTGTGGAATTTACGTTGATACAAAGCTTAATTTATATGTTGCTGATTGCGGTAACAGTCGAATTCAATTATTTCTATCAACACAAATAATTGGAAAAACGGTCGCAGGTACGGGAGCAATAGGAACTATTGCTCTAAATTGTCCTACTGGAATTGTTCTTGATGCTAGTGATTATCTCTACATTACGGACTGTAATAATCACCGTATTGTTGCGTCAGGACCGAACGGATTCCGCTGTTTGGTTGGATGTTCAGGCGTCTCTGGTGCAGCATCTAATCAATTATATTATCCGACTGCTTTAAGTTTTGATAGCTATGGAAATATGTATGTTGTTGATCAATTCAATAATCGAATACAAAAGTTTCCTATAACAAGCACTTCTTATAGTAAGTACCATAGAATCTTCTTTTCTCATTATCTAACAAGCGAGAAAAAATATTCTAATATTTTATCTATTCATTGCATTTCCAAATTATCATTTCAATAAAGAGGCCATTCTATGCTGCTCAGATAGCTGTAGTATCGATGATATGAATAGTAGTTCGACGAATAAAGATTAAAAAGTGTCTGAAATATTAAGTTTCAAAGTCATACTATCCATTGAAGTTATTCGCAACTTGTTGTCTTGCTCATATTCGAGTAAATGAGCTGACATCTCTCTCACTACAGATTTCTTCTAAGTGAATAATCTGTTGTAATTAAATTGCCTGATTTCTTCGAGCAAAGTTCTGACTGTAAAGGTAATTCTTATCAATGATTTCATTAAATTCGAACTATAGAATTTAGCCAAAGTTTAGAACTCGAGATCTGAATTTGGTTTTGTAAGTCATTGAAAGTTGAGCTGCTTTTCTTCAGTGATTCATTGGAAGAATTCTGAGGTAAGTCGACGTTCTATGTAGAGGTAAAACTAGTAATAGTTGTAGGAAAAATATTTGGCCTATGAAACTATCTCTGGATAGTACTTGATACTACAAGATAGCTGAACACAGCAGGATATTCTTCTTCTTCATTGAAACTGGATTGATTTGATTCTTTTAAATAAAAATGATTTGTTAATATATTCTAACAGAAGTGAACGAGATATCTAGTCAATTTTCACTTTTTCTTAGATGTGACTCTTAATCAACCAAACTTGTGTCCATCTACAACATGGTATACAAATGCAATTACATTTGCCAATGCTAGTACGGCTGGAACTCTCGTATATGGTGTTTTTGTTAGTATTAATAATACTGTGTATGTAGCTAATCAACAAACTAACAAAGTCATAGTATGGTTCGAAGGAAGTATTAATCCAGATAAAATTATTTCTGGTAGTCTGAATACGTCATTCGATCTTTTCGTTACTCCTTTAGGTGACATATATGTTGATAATGGTTTAAGTAATGGTCGAATTGATAAATTTTCATTCAACTCAAGCATAAGTACTTCTGTAATGTCAGTTCCTAATGCATGTTACGGCATTTTTGTTGATATTAGTAATACTCTTTATTGTTCAGCATTTTATTCTCATCAAGTTGTTAAGAAATGGTTGAATGATAATGTACTCACATCAACTATTGTTGCTGGCAACGGTACAGCAGGATCAACAGCGACTACGCTTAATGGGCCTTTGGGAATTTTTATCGATGCTCACGTTAATTTATATGTTACAGATTTTTATAACAATAGAATACAAATGTTTCCCGTTGGACAATTTAATGGGATAACTTTAGCGGGAGCTAGTGTACCAGGAACTATTACACTTAATCAGCCAAATAGTATTACATTAGATGGTAATGGATATCTTTTTATTACGGATACTTATAATCATCGAATAATTGGATCAGGACCATATGGTTTTCGATGTTTATTTGGGTGTACGACAATATATGGTTCTGCACCAAGTCAATTGTATTATCCAGCAACTTTAAGGTTTGATAGTTATGGAAATCTATTTGTTGCTGATAGATTTAACTATCGCGTGCAAAAGTTTATATTAGCATCAAATTCATGTAGTAAGTTATTTTTAGTTTATGTTTTCCATGATATAAATTTATTTATTTCAGGTCTTTCTTATAATCAACCAACATTTTGTTATAATGCTTTATGGTATTCTAGTGCATCAACTTTTGCATCAAGTAGTACAATTGGTACTTCACCTTATGGTATTTTTATTGATGGAATTAATACTGTGTATGTACCTAATCGAGTTAGTAACACTATTTTATCATGGCCTCAATGGAGTAATACATCAACAAGTAATAGTTATAGTAATTTAAGTAGTCCATACAGTCTTTTTATGTCTATGACTGGTGATATTTATATTGATAATGGTTATTCATATGGTCGAGTCGATAAATATACATTTAATACATCAAATTCCGTTACTGTTATGAATGTGAATGAAAGCTGTTATGGTTTATTTATTGATATTAACAATAATCTTTATTGTTCACTTAAAAATCTTCATCAAGTTGTTAAACTTTTACTTAATAATGGTACAACCATTCCGACAATTGCAGCCGGAAATGGTTCTGCTGGATCACTATCAAATATGCTTAATTCTCCACAAGGAGTCTATGTTGATAGTAATTTAAACTTATATATTGCAGACAGTGCTAACAATCGTATTCAATTCGTTCAAACTGGTCAATTAAATGGAATGACAATCGTTGGTAATGGATCATCAGCAAATATTATACTCAACTATCCGACTGGAGTTGTCCTTGATGCTAATGGTTATCTTTTTATTGTCGATAGTTATAATCATCGTATTGTTGCTTCAAGTTATTATGGTTTTCGATGTATAGTGGGATGTTCAGGAGGTGGTTCAACTGCATCTCAATTATCTTTTCCACAAAGTATGGCTTTTGATAGCTATGGAAATATATATGTTACTGATCGAAATAATAGTCGAGTGCAACAATTCACTCTTCAAACTAACAATTGCAGTAAGTTATTTGTAAATAATGCAACATTATGAAATTGTAGTTGATAATTAGTTTTTGCGACTATCATTTGAAAAATTGACAAAAATCAGATGATATGAATTATCTAATCTCATATTAATGTTTTTAGTATAACTTCCCTCTAATTTAACTGAATAAAGTATAACTGTTTTATATTTCAGCAATACCGACTACCACCACCACTACTACTACGAGCAGCACCAGCAGTACCACAACTAGCACTACTACTACTACCACGAGTAAGACTACAAGCAGTAGCAGTACAACAAGTAGTACTACCACCACCACTAGTAGCACTACTACTACTACAACCAGTACCACGAGTAGCACTACGACTAGCAGTACTACTACGAGCAGTAGCACTACCACTACCACCACCAGTACTACAAGCAGCAGTACTACAAGTAGCACTACTACCACTACCACTACCAGTAGTACAACTACAAGCAGTAGCAGTACCACAAGTACCACTACTACTACTACTACTACCACAAGTACTACAACAAGTAGCAGTAGTACCACAAGTAGTACTAGTACGAGCAGCAGTAGCACCTCAAGTACCACTACTACCACGACCACCACTAGCAGTACTACTACTACTACCACCACAAGTACTACAACAAGTAGCAGCAGTACCACAAGTACCACTACCACCACAAGCAGTAGTACCTCAAGCAGCACCACTACAAGCAGCAGCAGCACTTCAAGTACTACTACTACTACCACTACCACCACTAGTACTACAACAAGTAGCCGCAGCTCCACAAGCAGTACCACCACGAGCAGCAGTAGTACTTCAAGTAGCACTACTACTACCACTAGTACGACAACAAGCAGCAGCAGTACTTCAAGTAGCACCACTACCACGACCACCACTACCAGTATCACTACGAGCAGTAGCAGTACTACAAGTAGTAGTACAACGAGCAGCAGCAGTACTACAAGTAGTACTACCACGAGCAGCAGCAGTACTTCCAGTAGCACCACTACTACGACCACCACCAGCAGCACCACTGCGAGCAGTAGTAGCACTACAAGTAGCAGTACAACGACTAGTAGCAGTACTTCAAGTAGTACTACCACAAGCACTAGTAGTATCTCAAGTAGCACTACTACCACCAGCAGTAGTACTTCAACAAGCAGTAGCAGTACCACAAGTAGTACCACTACAAGCAGCAGCAGTACTTCAAGTAGCACGACTACCAGTACCACTACGAGCAGTAGCAGTACTACAAGTAGCAGTACAACAAGTAGTAGTAGTACTTCAAGTAGTACTACCACGAGCAGCAGTAGTACCTCAAGTAGCACTACTACCACCAGCAGTAGTACTTCAACGAGCAGTAGCAGTACCACAAGTAGTATAGCTTCCACTACAACTTCTCAAAGATTAGATATCCATCAAAGTAATAATATGAATAATATGAAAAATATTTTATTGATCTTTTTTTCTAAATTAGGTTGCTATGCACCGACGGTTACATTGATTCCTGGACAATCATCTTTATCATCTCCAATGTCATATCGACGTAGTCAAGATTTTTCTATTAGTTCGATGATTCAATTTAATTGTAATGGTTCACTTTCAACAACTAAAAAATGGACAGTCAAAAATTGTACATCGATATGTTCATTTGTAATTCAATTGGATGATAAAATCAGTACAACATTAAATGAACTTTATATTCCATCAAGAACATTGGATTATGGAATTTATGAATTAACATTAACTGTCACAATGATTGAATCACTTGATCTTAAATCTTCAGCTTCAGTTTTTGCAAGAGTAACTGCAACAGGTATAACAGCAAATCTTGTTCAATTAGGAACATCAATGATAACACGTGGTAGTCAACAAGATCTTCAACTTAATCCTGGAGCATATTCTGTTGATCCTGATCAAAATTCGTTTGATGCGAGTGTACGTATTATTTATCCCTCATTGATTATAAAATAGATTATATCGAACGAGACTATGATATATTAGTTTTACTTCAATATGGTGATACGAGTAAAACCATGAGTAGTAGAAATCAAGCCTGACAAAGTGATGATATGAATATTCCCAATAATCCAAAAGATCGAAAATAACAGAAATTGTTTTGAAAGTATGAAGAGTAACTGTCAGATTCTTAGCGAGATCAATAGATAATCTATTTATTTCATTCTTATCACTTTTTTACAGATATCTTAATAAATCTATTTTTATTGACTATAGAAATGGAAATATACGTATTATTGTCGAATTTATGGTTTATACAATTTCCCAAATTTTCAAGGTATATTATTACCAATTGAAAATTCTAAAATTGATCCTTATAATCCATCATGCTTATCAAATCAATCAGGTAATATTAATTCTCGATAATTTTATATGTCGAAATAAGAAACCTCATAACTGAATAGGATTAATATTCGGAAATTTAACTGCATCACCTAATTCATCTCTAACAGTTCTCGGTGGTTCACTTCAATCAAATCAAATGTATCAATTTATGGTTTATATGGAAAATCGTAAAAATTCATCTATTCAAGCAACAGGATATGTACTTGTTACAGTTGAAGATACTCATCCACAATTAATTGTTATTGGGTAAATAAATTTTTTTATTTAATTAAATCTTAAAAAGAAAACTTTTGAATTTAGTTGTGTTATATCAATATTATGTGTTCCAAATCTTGAATATCAATTTGTTAATCCAACAACACAAGTTGCACTATTTGCTATTTGTGTTGGAAATTGTATAAATCTTCAAAATATAAAATGGAATATTTATCAAGGTTCTGATAATTCATCTTCAAACTATACACAATGGACTTTATTTAATAATACAATTCTATATGAAAATATTTGGTTTTTCGGTAGAAATCTTTTTTGTAATTAAGAAATATTTATATTCGTCTTATTTTTTATAGGTAAAAATACAAGTAATTTTACAGCTACAAATCAATTATTTCTCAACAATCCTCAAATAGATCTCTGGCGATTTGAAGTTGTTTACACGTTTTTAAATGAAACAAGTACAAGTGCATTAAATTTTATTATTAATCAACCTCCTTATAATGGTTCATGTTCAATTAATCCGATGAATGGTACAACAACTACTTTGTTCACTATTACGTGTCCAAATTGGTTTGATGAAGATGGAATTAAAGACTATTCATTATACGGTATAGTTATTTTTTAATACAAGAAAATTATGAAATAGTTCGTGTAGTGTTGATATAGATCTTCTTTCTTTTAACATTAATGATGATACTAACGAGAAAAGTTCAGATAATCGATATTTAATTAGAATCTAAGAATGTGAATGTCTGAACTTCTCTCTTGAATGATACACTACGATGCTAAACAAAGACTAAGATATCTTTTTCCGTTTGACTCGCAAATATTAACTTTGTAATTATATTAGAGAATAACGATATATTTTTCACTCATTTTACTCCGAAATATTGAGCAAAATATAGATTTTTGTAGATTCAGAATTTAATTCATATTATAGAATTTATTTTAATCCTAGAGAAAGTATGTTAATCAATTTTCTTCTAATTTAAGCATGGACTACGGATGTATCGCAAAAATTAATGATTGCATATTCATCAGTATCTAGTTTTCAAGTTCGATTACCAAGTGGAGATAATCAAACATCATTACTCAATATTGTTATTTCTATTCGTGATCTTCTTGATTGTGTTGTAGAAGTAAATATGTCGTCTGTATATGTTATCGTAGATTCTGTAGGAATAAATGATCTAATGACAAGTCTACAAAGTTCACCAAATACATTAACAAATAGTGCAATTGTTCAATTACTTTCAAGTGGAAATCAAAATACTGTTGGACAAATTCTTACTGCAATTTCTCAACAATTCAATCAGCTGAATAGTGAAAATATAGATCAAGCTATTTCAAGTAATTATTAATATTTAGTTTACTACAGATAATGAAAATAATCTTTTTCTTAGGTGGAGTACCAGCTGCAACTATTCTAGTATCATCATTAGGAAGTTCAAGTTTACAAGGAGTAATTAAATTGAATTGAATTGAATTGAATTGAATTGATTTTATTTGATTTTAATATAGAATTCAACATCTGTCAATGAATCAGCTTTGACTGAATATACTAAAATATTAAATACTCAAGCAAATCTTCGGGATTATTTAATGACATTTACAACTGATCTCGTTATTACATCATCAAATAGTATCAAATTACAATCAACAGCATTAGCCCAAATAACACAATCAACAAACCAATTAACAAGAGCTGCTCTAGTACTATAAATCAAATCATTTTGTAAAGCTATAATTTTGTATAATTCTAGTCAATTGCATCAAATAGATGTTATCAATTATCTCTTGCTCTATCTTCAATGGCTACACAAATTCCATATGAAGATGCACAAATAGCAGCAAATCAACTAGTGCAATGTGCTTCAAATGTCTTAACCGTAAACTTTAGATTTTTAAATAATGTTCTATAAAACGTGGTTTTTTGTATAGATAAATTTCGCTAAGTGTAGGGAGGCCAAAAAGTCAATAGAGATCGAGAATTTTAAATATCTGTCTTTCGAGTTGATACTTTTATTACTGAAAAAGAAATATCCGTAGTTCGTATTAACAAGAGACACGTTCTCAGAGCTTTTTTTAAACCAATACAGCTAACGTCAACAAAAGCTTGAGAGCAATTTCATCATTTGTTAACCTGTAGAATTATGAATAATTAATTTAGGCTGTAAATGGACCATTACAAGAACGAACAAGTACACTTGATTTAGATTATTCTCGCGCAAATATGGTACCTACTGATTATGATACTGATCTTGAATCTCCATGGTCAAATACAAGTAACAGTTCTTGTTGAATGGTTTATTTCTAGTTCTTTTTTTTTTATTTCTAAAAGATTTATTTGGTGGTGGTGATGAGGCATCAGTTGAAAAAAATCGAAATATATATTATCAAAAACAATTAGCAAATCAAATCAATAGTCAAGTAACAGAAATCATATCATTATTAACTTCTTCATTAAATATTCATTTAAATATTGGTCAAAATTCAATAATAAATACATCTCAAACATATATGTCATTAGAAACAATATCAACCGAATCACTTTCAAATAAAATTGTTAAACAAATTGGAAATGCTCAATTTCATATTCCATCAGATTTTAATTTGAATACAAATGATAACTCTTCGATTTCACTTCGAGTAAGTTTGTTTTAATATTATTTAAAGAATTTCTTTTGAACTTTTTTAGTCAAAAATGGATGTACTTGCTTCATTTGGAGAATCTTCAAATACAAATCTTTCAAGATCAGTTTCGCTTTCAATAATTGATCAAAATGGAAATGAAATGTCGTTTAAAGCCAATGAAAATAATTCAATAAAACTAATAATTCCTCGTGATCCAAATCTAGTAATTCCATCAATGTATTTACAAAATGTTACATCAACTAATTCAACTATTAATAATTTATTATTCAATTATCATTATATTAATATAACAAGTTCACTTCCAATTTCAATTCATTTTGAAATTCATTCCTTAAATCGAAGTCTTGCTTATTTATTTATTTATAAATTTGATCAAACACCGCAATTAAATAGTTCAATTAATCTTATTGATGGATGGATAATTTTTTGCCCCTTCAGTATGTTTTCTTTTCTTGAACATTCAAATAGATTTCTTTTTTGTAATTATAGATTTAACTAATGATGATATATATCGATATTTTATTGATAATCAACAAACACCTGGTCATCAATCATTAATATTCGGAATACGTGAATTAAATTCAACTGAAATGAATAATTATTGTTTAAATAATTCATCAATAAATACATCTTTACCAATCACCGATGAACCATTTACTTTTACATCAAATTATGAACTTCGTATATATACATCAGGTTGTTATTATCTTGATGATAATAATAATTGGAAATCAGATGGATTAAATGTAAGTATAAGATGGATTAGGAAAATAAAGATTATTTGATATTTATTTAATAATAGGTTGGATCATTAACAAATCATTATGAAACAGAATGTCTTTCAACTCATTTAACATCATTTGCTGGTGGTTTTATTGTTTTACCAGAACCAATTAATTGGAGTTATGTTTTTGCCAATGCTGGTTTTCTGAAAAATAAAACTATTTATTTAACAGTTATTTGTATGTCTATTGCTTATATTATTTTGATGATTTTTGGACGTTTTAAAGATAAAAAAGATATTGAAAAAGTAAATTAAAATAATTAATAATATTTCTTAATTGAATTTATCTAATTTTTTTAGTTAGGAGTAACACCATTACCTGATAATGATAAATCTGATCAATATTATTATCAAATTATTGTTTTTACTGGTCAACGAGCAAATTCTGGAACACAATCAAAAGTAAAAAAGAGGAATTTTGCTTTGTAAATAAATCTTAATTTGATTAGGTTCATTTTATTCTCTCGAGTGATAATGATGAAACACGTGTTCGAACATTTTCAGATCCTCATAGAAAAATATTTCAACGTGGTGGAATTGATTCATTTATTATGAGTGTTCCAAAGTAAATTCATTTAACACTTAAAATATATTTATGTGTTGTTTTTAAAGATCATTAGGATTATTAAATTATATTCGTATTTGGCATGATAATTCAGGAGAAGGTTCATCAGCATCATGGTTTTTAAAATATATTATTGTTCGAGATTTACAAACAATGGAAAAATTTTATTTTATTGCTCAACGTTGGTTTTCAGTTGAACAAGGAGATGGACTTGTAACTATTTGTTTTTTTTCATTTCTTAAATCGTCATTCTTTAAATTTAGATTGAACGAATTTTACCCATTGCTGGTGAAATGGAAAAACAAAATTTTTCTTATGTATTATCGAAAAAAGCTTATTTTAGTGTATCCGATGGTCATTTATGGTTTTCAATTTTCTCTCGACCGCCATCAAATAAATTTACACGTGTTCAACGTTGTACTTGTTGTTTTGTTTTATTATTTGCTTCAATGTTACTGAATATAATGTATTATGATTTATCGGCTGAAGCAAAATCATCAAATAATACAGAAAGTAATAGTCTGTCGATTGGTCCTCTTTATATAGCACCAGAACAAGTATGTATAATTTTATATTATAAAGAATTGAGCTGAATATACTTAAAGAGACTCTTTATAGTCTATGAATTGTTAAATTTAACTTTTGAACATGACACTAAATTTCATAAAGTTATCATTTTATTGAAAAGATTTTGATTTATTTAAGATTGGAATTGGTATAATGGTTGAATTACTCTCGTTAGTTCCAAGTATTTTCATAGTTCAATTCTTTCGACGTATTCGACCTCGTCGACAAATTTCACCATTACGTCAAGCAATGGAGAAAATACGATCATTACCACACACGTTAGTGTAACTTAATGTATTGTCTTTGATTTAATCATTTTATATTTTTAGTGATTCAAAAGATAAAAGCCTAATCAAAAATAAAAAAAGTCAATTCACATTTCCTTGGTGGTGTTTATTTATTGCTTATACACTTTCTTTTATGATAATTGCTGTTTCAATGTTTTTTATTATTGTTAAAGGAATTATATTTGGTGATTTAAAAACTCAAAAATGGTTAACGTCGGTTTTCACTGGGTTTTTCTCATCAATTATTCTTACTCAACCAATAAAAGTATATATTTAGATATTCTAGTTTACTTTAAAGAAATTTCTTTTCTTTTCTTTTTTTAAAGATTTTAGGTTTAGCAGTATTTTTTACTCTGTTTTGTCGAAATCCAAATGATGATAAAGAAGCAAAAGAATATATAGATGAGACTAATTTTGAATTGGATGGTGATGAAGATTATCTTCATTCGAATAATTTTTCATTGATTTCACATACTTCAAAACGTATTACTCGTCTAAATGAAAATGAAGTAGCCTTTCTTCGTGAACAACGTTTAAAAGAACTTCAAATGTGGTCAATTATTCGAGAATTTATAATTTATGCTATATTTTTAATATTACTTTGCATAATAACTTTTTCAAATCGTACACAAAATAGTTTTTATCAAACTGATCATTTACAAAAATATTTTTTAAATACAAGGCAAACAGATTGTGATTATACACAAGTATACTTTATTATTTTTTGTTCTATATAACAATGAATATTTGTAGATTTTAACAATTGATGATTATTGGAATTGGTTAAATAATAGTTTTATTGATAATCTTCGTGCTCAACAATGGTATAATGATGATGAACCGATAAATTTAAATGGATATATAAATGATAAAACAAATCGAATGATTGGTTGGGCAACAATGAGACAACTACGTAGTAAATCACAATTATGTTCTGATCAACGGATAATATCAACATGTATAAATGATTATAGTTTATTTAATGAAGAAAAAGATTCATTTCAACCAGGATGGATACTGAATCAAACATCAATAGAAGACGAAGAAGAAGATTATAGTTCATCAATTCTAAAAGCATTTACATATCAATCAAGTAAAGAATTAGATACATATGCTTATGTAGGTGATCATGGAACATATAGTGGAGATGGTTATGTATATGAATTTCGTGGTCGTTTATCTGATATTAAAAGTAATTTATCTAAACTTCATCAATTACAATGGATCGATGCTAACACAAGAGCTGTTATTATTCAATTTACTTTATATAATCCAAATGTTGCATTATTTACTTCAGTTACTTTTCTTCTCGAATTTTTATCTGCAAGTGGAATTTATCCATCAGCTCGTTTTGAACCACTTAATTTCTATGGTACGTGATTTTTTTTCTAAAACTGACTTTATTTTCTTTTTCTCGTAGAGGAGAGTTCAGTAAACATAAATTGTCTGATTTCTTGCTTGCTTGATTGTATGTCCGCAAGTTCAAAAAAACATCGAACACCGATTTTCCCTAAAAAACATTTCTAGAGGTATTTCGATGTAAAGACTTCGAATCTGATGTTAGTTTTTGAGATTGTTCGAATAAATAGTTTACTGGTAGCGAAGACATATTGGTTCTACGAGAAAGAACTGAGCCGGTCTCCAGACGAGCGTTACTTCTATACTTTATTTGATAAGATTCGAATTCTAAATGATATTGACAATTTTGTTTTGATTTAGTATTTACATCATTAACACAATTGATTTGTACAATTATTTATATATGTTTCGTTATTTATTTTCTAATTATTGAAATCAAATTATTAATGAAATTAAAATTAAAATATTTTTATGAATTTTGGTCAATAATTCAACTTGGTATAATAAGTTGTTCGATTACAAGTATTATTATTTATATTTGGCGTTTTAAAGAATATAATCGTTTAAGTTCACTTTTTCAACAAACAAATGGATATACTTATATTAATTTACAAATGACAGTTTATGTTGATGATGTTTTAACATCTCTTCTTGGTTTTTGTTGTTTTTTTGCAACAATTAAATTTATTAAATTTATTCGTTTTAATAAATCATTAATAATATTTATTCAAACACTTAAATACGTTACTAAAGACATTATTTCATTTTCATTTATGTTTTCAATTGTATTTATGGCTTTTCTTGCATTATTTTATTTATTATTTAATTCAAGTATTGCATCATGTTCAAGTTTATTATCAACAGCTCAAATGTTATTTGAAACAACATTAATGAGTTTTGACGTAACTGATTTTACTGGAGCTGATCCATTTCTTGGTCCATTTTGTTTTTCAATTTTTATTATTATTGTTGTTTTCGTATGCTTAAGTATGTTTATTTCAATACTCAATGATGGTTTTCATCATGTTGAACAAAATTCAATTGAAGATCAACAAATTTTATCCTATATGTTAAAGAAATTTTTAAATTGGACACGTAAAAATATTTAATAAATTTAAATAAAAAAAATTATTTATTTGATATTCTAGATTTAAGAAGACCAAATGTTGAAGAAATTTATGCATTACAAGACTCTCGAATGTATTCTCAATATGTTGATCCAATTGAAAATTTTCCTGATAAAATCGATCAATTATTAGAAGCAATTGATCGAGTATATTAAAATATAATAATTTATTTTCATTTAAAAATTATTTATTTTTCTTTTCTTTTAGATTTATGTCGATCAAAAAAAAGAATTATTAAAATTAACAAGAGCTGGTGTTTAATTATACTAATCTTCAGTTATTATATATCGAACTCGAATTAGATTGATATTTATTATTGTATTGCTTTTGCTTAACTTGATTTAATCAACATATTATTATTTTTTTCGAATAAAATCATTGCTTTATTTGTTGTATAATTAAACTTGAACTTGTGTTTATTGATAAAAGATTGTAATGTATAGATAGATATTGTTTGATAATGGAACATGAATCTATAATAGATATTCCATAAAACACAAAAAAAGATGAATTTTTGTTACAGAATGCAGTGGAACTACCGAGAATAGGTAACAAATCGATGTATTATGTTACATGCTTCACCCTCAGTGGGTCCATCGCAACTAGGGGCATCTTGAGGGTGTGGGTGTGGGTACTATATAAATATGTAATACTTACACCCACCCACACCCTCAAGATGGAATACCCACATTCAAACACACTCAAGATGAATTTACTATTTGCATTGATTCAATCATTTAACTGTACTTTATTTTTGATAATACCTAAATACAATCTGTGTGACTAAATGAATACAACATTGAATTTATTTTTACGACAAATACGAACAATACAATTATGTCCTATGAATACCATTTTTCAATTGAAGTGTTCCATTATTCTTTGTAGTTTTCATATATGTGTCATAAGGAATAATAACACGTCTTTGTCGTCGATAACAACATCGAAACATTTTTTTTATTCGATTTTGAACTTTAGATAATGTAACAAGGCATGTAAATGGCAATAAAAATATGATAAATTTTTTGAAGAAGTGTGCATAAAGATTGTAATCAGATCCGACATATGATGGAACTCCAAGTAGCTTCGCAGTTGATAAAATGACTGGTGGTAAATATAAAATATAGAAAAGAGATGTAATAGCTATTAGTTGAATTGTCATTTTACGATGTTTTCACCAATGAACTTGTCGATGAAAACGACATTTCTGACAAATGGCACGTAAGACAAGAAAAAAGCTACCAAATGCAATAATCAAAGATGGTATAACTGCACCAGTAAAAGATTCAAAATGCATAAATGATATACTATTATACATACAACTAGAATAATCACAGAATGGTTTTGTATAAGAGAATTTTCTGTTGCAGTCATTCATTGGAGTTATTATTGCATAACAAATGATATCACATATAACAATTAGTAATAATGGAGTATAATGGAACAAAAGACGTTTTATTTTTGTTGATACCCATTTGTTATGAAATATAATAATATGTCGTTCAATTGAAGCCCATGCTACCAATTTGGCTATTGATGTATAAATACATGAATCAAGAAACTTCCAAATCATACAAAATGTTGGAGTTTGTGACCAAACTATATTGAATAAATAAACATGCATCGTAGCAGGAGCAACAGTCATTGCCCATATAAGACACATGAATATGAGAACTATTATTACATGATTATGTAATGCATGACGAAGAGTTCGATCAAATAAAAGATGAAAAAGAAGAAACAAACAGCACACAATTGATAAAGTAGTTGGTATGAGAAAAAGCCAAAAACGACCTATATAACTAATAGCTATATCAGGTTTACTTAATTCTATTGTAGTAATGCTTGAGTTTGTAGTTGATAACGACATTCTACTCGATAAAACTTTTGAAAATGACTTGTATATTAGAAAAAGATGCTTTATTAAATATAAAAGTAACGTTAGAATAGCGTAAATATCATGAAAAAATTCTTCAGAAGCGCCGAATAATAAATTAGTAAGAAAAGTTGAATGTACTTATATTTATTTTGAGCAACAATGGAAATGTTTTGTCTAGTTTAATTATAACTATTCATGATAATATATAATTTATATATATTCAATTTATTCAAACAGGTCACGTTCATCGAAACTCAATTCACGTGACACTAGGCTATTGCGACTTGCATGCGAATATGATTATATTTAGATGTGAATCAGAGTTGAGCCATTTTGGTTTTCTTTCAGCAGAAAATCAAATTGAAGTTGAACTAGTTTTTTTTATATGCACTATAATAAGTCAACTAAACTCACAAGTTTATTTAAAATATTTTACAATAATACAACTAGTAAAATGATCAAATTACAATGTATAATTTTTGAAGGTTCTAATCCTGGGCTTTGCTTTTTTGATTTGTGATACAAGGCGTTTGGATATATCGTCGTTCTTTTCATGCATGGATTAAAAATATTTATTAATGATGATGATGAATATCATGTCATATAAAAATAGATGAACTTTTTTTTTCAAAAGTATTATAATATTCTGTCTATACGAACATTCTATTTTTTATTGTTATTGATATTATTTTCATCGTCTTCGTCCTTTTTAAAAAATAAATTAAATATCGTGCTATTCCAATAAAAAATTATATTATTGAAAATATGTCATAGTTATGTGGTCATTTATGCCAAAAAAAATGGTCAAATGTGTCATGTTACCGACAAAGATAATACATATCAATAGATCAATTCCCGTTCCTAGACCTTGTCTTTACAGTCTAGGGAATACAGAGAAAAATATACTTGAGTTGATTCACGTATTTATACACATAATCTATATCTAAAAACGTGTTCATTTTTTCAATTTCTATAATTAAAGTTTTTTTCTAAGCATAATAATTGTTTTACAGCTTTTACATCTACTTAAAAAGACATCTCGACATAATTCTTTTAAGTGAGGTTAATTTATTAATACTAAAAATATAATCTTTGATCTTTCAGAATGTCTAGAAAATATCATGAATAATAATGAATACATATATGTGTTTACAGTTCAATTATTTTCTATTAATATTCGCTTCAGTAATATCACCCACACGATATGCTTCATTTGTGATCAATCAATTTTATTAAAAAACTTTCTTCATAGAAATATGCGTTGATCAATCAGCGATTGCGGATCAATGTGGGTGTGAGTATTTTTTTATCTGTACCTTCACACACACACACACCCTCAGAATATAGAGTCCCTAGTGAAACTACTCATCAAGCGAGTACGACTTGCCAGCATGAGTACTCAGATTACTCAAATGAGTACTCGTGAAAATTGACGAGTATTCTTACTGATTGAGTACTCTTAGTCGTACTGATTCAGTTGTTGCTGATTTAACTTTACTCTCAAGTAGTGGTATGAGTACTCACTCGAGTACTCATATATTTTTTTGGAAAATAATCCAATAAAACAGTTATGCATTTTCAAATATGAAATATAAAAAAATAAAATAATATGAAAGTAAAATTTGCACAAGATAATTAGATATGAAAATGTATTTTATCTGTTTCTTTTTGTTCAATATTATCAGACAACAAAACGATCATATTGTTTCCAGGAGAGAAAAGAAAACATACAATTGGATATTAATTTTCATGTGTTTCTTTTTTCTCTTCAAATAAACGGTTGTATTCTATAGAGGAAATAGAAGTTGTTTTCCATGTGCTTAGATATTTTTCGAAAAAACCGTTTTATTCAATAAGATTATTCATCACTATTTGGTAATTAAAAACGAAAAAAAGCAACGTGACTTGTTTATGTATATTGAAGATATCCAATAGCAATAGATGTTGAGATAGACAAGTCTTATATCGACATAACGTCATTCTTTTTTTTCTATTATCATTCTCGTCACTATCGTTTGCCTATAATCACGTGTTTATTGCTTTCTTCTAATCTTTGATTTATTTTTAGATGTTTAATAAACAATTTTAGAATTTCGATTATAAGTTTCGATTAAACGCACCAGTTGTAAGTAAAATTCAATAGACACATCCATTTCATATAGAAACTTTATTTTTTCTATTAACTAGACATTAGCAAATCAAACAAATCCAGTTGAATTTACTGATGAGCATTATACAAAAATCGAAGTAAGTTTTCTTCTTTTATATATATGTATATATCCTTATCTAATTTCTATTGCAATTCTAGGAAATTATTGGTATGAATCCCAATCAAATTAAATCTACATTAATACGTCCAACAATGGGAATGAGAGAATCAATGAAAAAAGATGGTCATATTGGTGATTAAATACAGTTAATAAAATATGAAAATTTATTCAAAGGTCAGTATACAACTTTTAAGTTTTCCACTACAAAGCTCATTAAAATTTTATCGTTTTAGAATTATACAAATGAAATGAAATGAAAGCAACAAAAATAAAACAGTTTATGTAGAACTATTATCAATAGCAACAAAACCAACATCACAACTTGCACAAATATCAACGATCCCGAGCGAACAAGGAATTACAACATCAACGATCACTACTGAAAAAGAAACAACAACCATAATGCCATCTCAATCATGTAAATGAATACTATATAACTCATGTGTGATTTTATATATTTTGCCATGATTATATTAAGGCAAACGAGTTGTATTGAAGTAGAGATAATTTAATTTTTTATAAAATTAGAAGAGATTTTTTTATCTATCGTTTTATTTTTTTCTCTATCTTTTCTTTGTTTTTTATATTGAATATTCTATCATATTTTATCTTGATCCTATTACTTATGTTCTTTTTTATGTTAACCTTGTTACTGTTACATGATCAAAAGCCAAATTATATCAATAAATTAAAAACTAATACAAATATTGTCGTATATGAAATGTACCAATAGAGTACTCGGAAAATTAGAAACGAGTAGTTGTTTATAGTACTTAAATACTCGTCAGTTTTACATAAGTACTCGCCAGTCGTACTCGAACACTTAACGTTCATGACAAATACAACACACGAGTACTCAAACATAATAAGTACTCATGAGTTCTCGTGACATTTTCTAGCGTGAGTACTTTATGAGTACTCCGGCATGAGTTCTTTCACTAGGGGTAAAACTGAATGATGGTAGCGACGTTTTTTAGATTCATTTAATTGTATATTTTAAATTTATCCATTATCGAGAATGTAAAAGCTTTGACAAGTATTATAAGCGACATGAAGGATACTGGTATGGATATAGTGAGTTTTGTCTTTACATCTACACTTCCATATAGGAAACGATATGACGCAATTTCGTTGTGCACCAGTAAGAAATAAGTATTCATGATTATTGCAAACAATTTCAGTCTTTTGATAAACAGTCGCTCGAACGAATCGTCCAAATAAATCAGTTAATGAGTCAAACGAAAGGAAAAATCCAATCGAATACATGTCATACTTCTTTTAGGTGTTTTGTTTACCTGATGAAATTTCAATCGTTCTTTTGCATGCGTCATTATATGTTTATTGAGAAAAAACCAATCGTTTACTGTTGATAGAATATAAATAAAAAAAAAGAGTGCCAACTGATTAATGTTTCTCAAACACTTGCAAGACAACAACATCGATTACTTTGAAACGAAAAATGACAGCAAGAGAATTGTCAACTGAAATTCCAATGATGGTAAAAAGATCATTTCCAGAAGATGACAATGATGAACAAATCATTATTATTTGTTTTCATCCAAATAATCAAATCGAAGATATGAAGAAGCAATTACATGAAATGAATGATCATGTTGTATTCCATACAGAATTGGAATCATGCATTTCTTTCATTCAATCAATTGAAAATGAAAAAATCTTCTTGATTATTTTTGATTCTTATGCTTGTGAATTGGTATCTCATATTGATATTTTTCAACAAGTACATTCAATCTTTATTTTTTATACAAAACCTGAAGACTTTAAATATTTATTTCATGAACAATTAAATATAATTGGAGTTTATCATCGATTGGATTTTTTCTATTCAGCTCTTGAAGAACAAATTAGTGTAATAGCTGAACAATTTTTCCAGTGGGCATTTTATGATCAAACAAATTTCTCTAAACGAGATTTATCAAAACAATCAAGTGATTTTCTTTGGATGCAATTATTTCATGATGCGATTTCATATTTTCCTCATGATGAACAAGCAAAAGAAGATATGATGAATATCTTCCGTCTTTATGCTGATGAAAAATTATATCAATCTAATGATGCTATTCAATGGTATTTAAATAATTCATTTCTTCAAAAATTAATAACAAAATCATTGCAAAGAAAAGACATCGATCAACTCTATCAATTAAGATATTTTCTTGTTGATCTTATCGAAAATTTAACTCGTGAATGTCATACAGGAAATGTTGTTATGTATCAACAAATAAAATTATCAAAACATGAATTAAATCATTTCAGACAAAAGCAAGGACAAATATTGTCAATGAAAGGATTTCTATTAGTAAAGCAAGATATTGTATTACCACAACGATCGGATTTAGTCGATGTTCACTTGGAAATTAAATGTAATATAAAAGAATATCAGAATAAAAACGAAATTTTATTTGATTTGAATACAGCATTTCAATTGGAAAATATCGAAGAAAATGACCAAAAAATTCTTATTCGATTAACTGCAGTTAATTATGGACAAATGATTAAAGAAAAATACCTCAAAGATACACATCGACAAATAGAAAATTTAAGTATTCCAATTATTTTTAGTAAACTAATGTGTGATATGAATGAATGGAATCAAGCAAGAAAATATCTTCAATATTTATTAATCCATTCAAATGAACAAGATTTACCATGGACTGAATATTTTATTGGTGAGACTTTCTATGAAATTGGACAATTGAATGAAGCACGATTATGTTATGATCGAGCGATTAAAAGTAATAAAATTAATCTTCAAGATTCGTCTGTAGTTCTTTCTGCTATTGGTAAAGTTTTATATTCACAAGGAAAATATGAAGAAGCATACGATTTTTATCAACAAGCGTTGACAATTCAAAAACAATTTTACCCTTCGGATCATGCACATATTGCTAATAGTTTAGATGATATTGGTCTTGTTTTCGGCAGAAGATTACAATATCATCAAGCTCTTGATTTTCTTCAACAAGCATTGGAAATTCGAGAGAAATATTATGAACATTTTCATGTTGATATTGCTATTAGTTTGCACAATATTTCTGAGATAATAATTGATCAAAGAAAATATGATCAAGCATTGGAGTATCAAAAACGTGCAATGTCCATCTGCAAGGAATATTATCCATCAAATCATACATATATAGCTCTTTTACTTTTTCGTATTGGTAGTATTCTGTATCATCAAGAAATCTGTGAGGAATCTCTAAATCTCAGTCAACAAGTATTAACAATAATGAAAAAATTGCGCTCGTCAGGTCATCTCGATGTCGCTTGCACTTTGACACATATCGCACATATTAGATATGGACAAGGAATGCATGAGGAATCTTTACAATTATATCAACAAGTATTAGCATTATTAATCCAATATTATTCATCTGATCATTTAGATATTGTTCAAACTTTGATTAATATTGATCATACACTATTATACGGAAAAGAAAATTCTGAATAAACACTGGATTTTTTTCAAAAATCTCTGACTATGTTAGAAAGATCTTACCCGTCCTACCATGCACATATCGCTAGCAATCTCAATTTAATTGGAAATGCTTTGAGGAAACAAATGAAATTTGATCAAGCCTTGGAAATATATAATCGAGCATTAAAAATGCAAGAAGATTATTATTCATCTGATGGTATTGAATTAGTTGACACATTGAGGAACATTAGCCACACTTTATCTTCTCAACAAAAGGTGGATGAAGCTCTTCTCTACTGTCAACGAACGTTAACAATTCAACAGAATAACTTGTCATCAGATCATATCAACATTTCATATAGTTTCAATAGTATGGGACATTTAATGGAAAAGAAAAAAGAATTTACTCAAGCAATTCAATTTCATCAACAAGCACTAACAATTCAACAGAAATGTTTTCCATTAGGTCATTCTACGATTATTGCTACTCTTAAGTTTATCGGTACACTTTTTACAAATCAATGTCAATACGATCAAGCTCTCGAGTATTACAAGCAAGCACTCGACATCAATGAAAAATGCTTTCCATCTAATCATGTTCAATTAGCTTCAAATTTTATTTCGATTGGATCTGTTCTAAGTACACAAGAAAAATTCAGTGAAGCATTAGATTTTCAAAATCGAGCATTGGCAATTCGAGAGAAAAATTATCCATCAGATCATGTTTTTATTGCGCATACTCTTACTCATATTGCTCGTACTTTGTTCAATCAAAAAACTTATCATCAAGCATTAGAATCGTATCAACGAGCAATAAATATTTATGAAAAATGTTATCCATCTGATCATACTGATATTATTTCTAATCTTAACAATATCGGTGATGTTCTCTATCGATTAGACAAATATGATGAAGCCTTAACATATCATCAACAAGCATTAGCAATTCAAGAAAAACAAAATGAAACTGCTCTTATCGATATGGCTCGTACTCTTAATCATATAGGAAATATTTATAATAGTCAAAATAAATTCGATGAATCTCTTCATTTTTACCATCGCGCATTGGAAATTCGAGAAACATTAGATTCATTAAATTATCAAGCGATTTCCACGATGCTCTCTAATATTGCTGATGTTTTATACAAACAAAGAAACTACATACAAGCATTTGATTACCAACAACGTGCATTAAATATCCAAAAAACTATTTATTCACTGTCCGACGTTAGAATTGCAGAAAGTCTTCATTCTATTGGTCATACTCGATACGGTCAGAAAATGTTTGATGAATCTTTGGATTTCTATCAGCAAGCATTAAAAATCTATGAAGAAAATCATGCATCGAATTTTGAAAATGTTGCTCTTTCTTGTGAATATGTTGGTGCTTCTCTTATCCAACTAGAAGAATATGAAGAAGGTTTAAAGTATCTATTTCGAGCACTGCAAATTTTTGAAGAAAATCCTTCGTCAGATTGTGAACAACTTCCCATATGTTTGTGTACTATTGGCAATTCATTACTTGAACAAGGAAATCCTAACGAAGCTCTTCATTATCATCAACGAGCACTTGCAATTCGACAAGAACTTTATTCATCTGGCCATATGTATATTGGTACTAGTCTTGGTAGTATAGGAAATATATTTAGTAATCAAGGCAAATATGATGAAGCTTTTGATATGTATGAACAAGCATTAGTCATCTATGAGAAATTCTGTTCATCTGAAGATCTGGAACTTCCAACTTGTTTGAGTAATATGGCTTCTCTTCTAAATGATCAACACAAATATGATCAAGCACTTTCCTTTCATTATCGAGCATTAGCAATTCAAGAAAAACATTTACCATATTCGTATACAACCGTTGTAAATGTTCTAAAGGATATTGGTCAGGTAAAAGTTAAACAAAGCAATTTTGATGGAGCTCATGATGATTTCTCTCGAGCAGTAGCTTTACTTCAACAATATGATCCACTTAATCACTCTCAGCTTGTCAATGACCTCGAATGGATTGTATCTGTTTGGAAAAACAAACGATATTATCATCGTGCTATTGAATATCTTCAACAATGTTTACACATCAAAGAAGCTAGTCTCTCTCCAGAACATTTATCCATTTCAGCTACTCTTTTAGATCTTGCTAAAGTTCATCGAACTCGACATGAATATCAATTATCATTAATATATGATATGAAATATTATTCAATTATTGAAAAAGTTTTCTCACCAGATCATAAAGCTATTATTGACAGTTTATCAAATATCACTGAATGTTATGAACATCTTAATGAACTTCAAATAGCTTTAAAATATTATCAACAAATACTAACGATCTAAGAACAATCTGAATCTGCTTCGGATTTCGAAATATTCATAGTTATGGCTAAGGTTGATCAACTCTTAATACAGATAAATGAAGAGTCGGTTTAAAAAATGAACATTTTAATCTGATCATTATTCAAGAAATCAATCAATCACAATATCATTTCAAAGAAACTCTTTTTATTTTGTAGAAAATCTTGCTTACATCAAACGAATCCAATTCACTTGCAACAGCCATATAAAAGTTTTATATTAATTACAAAAAATTCGTGTTTAGTTTGTTTTATATGCGAATAGAGGGCGTCTGTGGGTGTGACTGTGAATAAAATATGATCATAACATCCACACCCACTCTCAAAAATTTAAAGACAACTAGTTTTTGTTAAGAATATCTTCATGGCTTTTAAAGTATCAAGACAAAAATGATTCAAGAAGAGTCAAATATTGTAAACTTGTTGGAAAGAAATTTTGTCTTTGCAATTGATAAATAAAACACCTGTATGAATCATTGAAGGAAAAAAAGAAGAAATGATTGCATCATCAAAATTTGAAAGATAGTCAAAGCATAAGACAAAAATGATGCAATAAAAATAAAAATATATCCCGCCGCTCGGAATCGAACCGAAACCATCCGATTTCTGCGCTCTACTTACTTCTACAGTCGGAGATCATACCATTAGACTACAGTGGGATGCTATTTCTCTATTTACTTCTCAATATGTAATCAATCGACAAGTCAGACTCACTTCGATAAGAAATACATCATGGGACGAACAATTCATTGAGAGATAGTTATTCATCAGAACTATGAAAAATTCACCAGTTTTAATGAAAATCTTTTCAGTATTCTCTTTTATTACTCAATACTAGTTGTATGACAATCATCGTTGTTGTGGATTTGATCAACATTTCTATTCTTTGTTACTCTTTCTATTATTTGCATACAGTTTAGTATTCTTCAGATAATGATACAGTTACAAATCAGTTATCATACTGACATCAAAACGGTAAAGAATGTCGATCGTTTTGTATGTTAACGATTATTGTAGAAACAAAAAGTTCTGTTTTTCATTAAAACTTATTCTATTCTATTTGATCTCTACAGGTGTTAGGACAACATTACTTGAATTTTGATGTGTACTTTGAGGGTGTGGGTATAGATACTATATTCACCTAGCACTCACACCTACAACCACATATACACAACCTCAAGATAGTAATTGTTCCACTTCCGACTCTTCTTTCTACAAGATCTGTATCCTGAGTATGATGCTGATTACAATAAAAAAAGATGGTAGGACTTCGGTTTCATCGACTCGATCTGTTAGAAGAGACATAAGCGGAATTCTTTTTATGATATTTAATTCAACCAATCGTGATGAACGTAATACAATAGTAATTTTTCTATACTCTCAGTCCGAACATTCGTTTTGTGCTTACGCTTACCCTTTGTCTTCTTTCTCAAACAATAATGCTTGATAAGAGAATTTTTCGTTATCATCACGTCTTTCCAACATACTGTCATGTAAGCATACATCATTCAACAAATAGTGCGATAAGAAAAAGTCTTCTATTTAAGATGTAACTATCTCGACAAGTTCTAAGATATAAAGGCGCATTGAAAAAAGAGTATATGATGTATTTCATGCGTACTCTTAGATGTTGCAGAGTCAGTCGCAATTAATGTATAAGAAATCGTCATCGAAGCTTTATTTATCAGTCATGAAATTAATCCGAATTTAAGACTATTTTTAGATTCTTTTTCAACGAAAAATGTTTGGAAGGCTCAGAAACATGTTTGAAAAGGTGAGTACAATCTAATATATCAATAGAGAGCAGATCAGTTGTTGATTTGGACAAATTAGAAAGTGAGCTTCCGCACTGGTTTCTAACTACAACGATAATTCATGACGATATAAGTCAGGAGTTCGGTTCTACATTTCAACTGTAGTGTCATATTCTTAAGTACACTGGACAATTATCTAACTGTGAGAGGGAAAAATGTATCCTATAGTTCCCATGATTCGAGCAGGAGTCAGTAAAGTTCAAGCAAGGATGTGGGTGTGGGTGTAGTCAAGAGAGTATTTATCATCACCCACATCCCACGCTTTCGAGGTTTATTTGAGTTTCCTTTATCATTGTAGGGTGTTATGCAACCAAAGTCAGCAACCTCAGACAACATTACAATGGAAAACTTGCCTCTTACTACTTTACCAGCGGAAGTAATTCATCACATATTTGACTATTGCGATGACCGAACGATTCTCGTTCATGTGCGTCGCGTCTGCAAAAGACTCTATGACATTGTCAACACTTACAATCGGCTCACATTAACAATTGATTGCAACTCCGTGAATAGCATGAAACTCATTTCTCATGTTATTGGACCAGAAAAAATTATTTCGCTTATTATTATCAAAGATCCATGGCGTTTTGATAAAACCAATTATTTTTTTCATTATGCACTAGTCTAAAATTTACTCGACTTTGTTCGTTAATTGTCAAGCAAATAGGAGTCAAGAATTTAGAAAATCTTTTGCAAAGTTTGAATACCGACTCTCTGATCTCACTTTCTATTCAGTCAAGGCATAATGAGTATGATCAAACATGGATTGTTGTTTCATATGCACTAGCTCGATGGAATCTTCGAAAATTATGCTTGGGTAACGTGGACTACCTAATGAACCACATATCATGGTCAGATCAAGGTGGATTAGAGCATTTAGTTATTGCTAATTGTGACTATAGCAAGTATTTTCTTATTCTACATAATTTGCCAAATTTACGAATGCTGGTCATGCAAAAATGTACTATGTATGAGATGATAGTGCCTTTAATGTCATATGCGTCCACGTTTCATCTTACATTGAAATCTTTAACTATGACATACTGTTCACTTGCTCCTCAACATTTAGACTTAATACTTTCACCAATATCTTCACTTCGCCATCTAAAACTGATTTCTTATAGAGAACAGTACGATTCTGTCTTTGATAGCTCCTTTTGGGAACGACTTATTTGTACGAAACTACCCCATCTAGATCGATTTGAATTTTACTTCTCTTGTCGCTACCACATAAACAATAACTTCATCAATCTCGAGTCACTCATTGATCAATTTCGAACACCATTCTGGCTCGACGAGAAACAATGGTTTGTGTTCTGCGCTTTTTATCTAGAATCGCATATGATATGTTTGTATACAATACCTATCATCATTAATGGCCATGGAAGTTTATTAAGATGTGAGATATCATCGATAGATAACATTTGTCGTCTGGTTCAACGACCGCATAATGAAATGGTTGACAACATTTCAGATGAGGTATGTAATAAATTCCATCAACGGAAGAATTGAATTTTTTTTATCTGAATGAAGTCATTGAGCAGCCTTCATTATAAGGATATTGTCACAAGCAGATTTCAATGGTTTATGAATAACTTTCCATTAATTTTGAAATAGGAATTTAGTGAATAAGCATGTCAGTTCTGATAGAAACGTGTCACCGGGAAGTAGTTAGGAATCTGACATAAAATGCTATATGGATCCTGATCAATTTTCATAATATGTGAATCACTATGTTATCTGAATTTTCATGATTATCTGTTAACTCTTCCTCAAACTCATAAGCTGCAGCAACCTTTGTCGATGCTTTTCAGCATGTCTGCTGCGATTTCAAAAGATTCTCTGTGTAGTTGCTTATTCATCCGCGAAAATACTACGATAGATGTCAATGCCTTTCTTTCTCATAGTCAAAATAGCTCCATCTTTTTTCACATTATTTGTCGTATAACGATTACACCGAAAATTTCTGGTGTGGATTTCAGATACCAAGAAACACCCAATACGAAATTCGATCTTCTTTTCCTCTTATTCGTATAAACTTCCTATTCATAGAAAACCAGAAACTATCTTGTTTATTGTTCTTGAAAATATAATATAGTCCTATTCTCCGAGAAACTAAAACACATCGTAACTTTCTCACATGGAGTAAAGATCTGGGTGTAGGTTTTCGTAAAAGAGAGTGATATGTCTTTTTACAAAGTTGTATATTTGTGGCTTTATTATAGATTTCAAATATCTAATAAATTAAGATCGGCCTTATATATAAGCGGAGCACTCTAGAGCGCAGATATCGAGTTTCTGAAACGATCTAAATCATAGGCATTTTACGAAGTTTTTATAAAATATTCTCGCCTTGTATTTTGTATAGAATTCCTTATTTTCCCAACCAATCAGAGTTCAACAAGCGTATTTTTCTATTCTAATATGCAGAAAAAATGCTGTTGCTCAAGCCAAAAACGGGATTAACATGACTTTCTTTGCGTAAACGATTCAAATAGTGCCATATTGTATCGACACCGCAAGCAGACGGATATTTCATTTGCAACACATGCTTAGATTTTTTAATCACCTTTACTTCATAAAAAGCAAATAATAGTAACGTTCTACTCATCCTAATCACCTAATTTTAACTAAATCAACTATTAAACAGAAAACGTTCACGCTATGTTCATGAATTCAGTGTTCGGTAAAATGGTTCCCTTCTACCAAGTATATTCTAAGAAAAATATGAAATTTTTGAAACTCTTCGTAATTCCAGATAATTATATAGACGATAGAGATACTATAGAATTTGCGAAGATTTCACAAAAACTTAAAAAATAATGTTCGAGGTGTTGATACACAATATCTTCCTCATATATTGCCAGGCAACAGCATGATAACCATAGTATTTTTATCTTTTCTACACATAGACATTCACCACAACGGACCTTGAATACAAGCATATCGGAGATGTTGGGGCACAACATCTTGCTGCTGGTTTAAAAAATAACACGGTAATTGTCATTCTATTTTTGTCTTTCTGATATTCATCTTTTTCTTTACGCATAGACACTAACAACAATAAACCTGACCCACAATGATATCGGCCCTGCTGGGGCTCAACATCTGACTGATACCTTACTGAATATTACGGTGATTCTCATGCTATTTTTCTCTTACATATTCA